GGGCAGAGTAGAGGGGGAGGAGAACTTCTCTGACCTACTAACCACACCCCTTCTAATACACCTCAGGATGCCACTGGCCTTCTTGGCCACAAGGGCAGCTGGCTCATGGTCATCCTGCTGTCCCAGATAAACAAAGGAATTTATGATGGTATCTACTACTGATGATCCAGAACCATAAACACTAGACACAGTGAAAGCTCACTGTGCTTTTTCTGAATGGGATTTTGCTGCAGCCAGTCCCCAGGGTGATGCCCAGCGCTACCCAACGGGGATAACTAGGCAGCTGTGACCACGTCACAGGACACTGGAAAGTCTACATTGCACGGCTGGTTTTCTTAATGTGAATTAATCTGGGTGAGGGTAAGCTGTATTGTATCTCACAAAGACACTTCAGAGGTGGTGAACAGAAGAAATAACTTCCATCCCTCCTTATTAAAGGTAAACTCACCTACTGTCACGGGTTTACCTAGAACACATGTCACCTAGAGCACATTCTCCTACGTACAGCCACCCCAATGGACAACGTGCCTTCAGATGCCACCAAATCCACACAACAACCAAGAGAAGCTTTCTCCAAAAGCCTACCAGCTCAGGGTGATTGGGAAGGCCACACTTCTTGCACGGCTCATCGTCATCAGCAGGTGCAGCTTCTTCTTCCTCCTCTTCTTCCTCTTCCTCATCGTCATCAGAGTTTTTTTCGCTCTCCGAGTCTTCGCTTTCTTCATTACTTGAGTATTTCCCCCTGCCACGTGTTCGTGTACCCGTCCACCGAACTTTGCTTCTCTGAGACATACCAGGGAAAACACAAAGGAAGTTTAGAGTTTCTTCCCAGATCTTAAACCACATTTGTCTCTACAGTGAAGTGGCTTAATTGCAATCAGAACAGTCACAGTAAATTTACAACAGAGCATTTCAATGAGTAGACTGTTTTCCAAAAAGCCTTAAAATGCAACAGGATAATGAAGGGGAAAAAATTAAGGGAGAAAAATTAATTATTTTATTTATTTTAATTAAAATAAAGGGAAAAAAAATTTACCAGCAGAAAGAAATTTCCAAATAAGATTTAAAAATAGGAAGACAAATTTGTTACTCAGCCCCTTTTTATTACTTTGACAAGGTAAACTTGCTTGTGACCACGGTAAATTCCACATTCAAACTTTCTGCCTTTTTGAGGATAGCTCTCCTCCATCCAAAGAGAATCTTTTCTCCACCACACCCCCCTCATGTACAGTTTGTGTCTTTCTTCAGGAAACATGTTTGCACTCTAACAAGTCTATTCACTTCAGTGTTTCTGCTGCTTTCCTCCGAGATGGACGTTTCTGAAATAACATCACTGCACCTTTTAAGTGCATAACTTATTTCTAGGTCTTCTTTCACATTTGTACTTTTAAATTATTTTTTTTTTAATTGAAACTGGTTCAGTTGATGCTTCTTTTTGGCTAATCAAAGGGGTATCTACCCCTTTGTATCACACCTTAGCAAAGCAACCATATGTCTTACCATGCATTTTCTTGGACTTTCCTCCTTCGTATTTTACAAAATGGAAAATGACATCTCTTACTCTCTACATGTGTTAAGTTTTACTGGTGGTTTCTTCAAAATATATTTTGGATGAAAAACAGAATTCAATTAAGATTCAGAATATCATTAAAGCTACTTTCTGCAACTAGGATATTTGGTATTTAAAGCAACGCATGAAACAGAAGAAACTTTTCTTCCCATTAGCTGACTTGTTTCCCTCAGACGTCATTGTCTCACAACTCTTTTCCCGTCCCCAGACACTGAAAAAGGTAATTAACTTCTTGACCTTTTTCAACTCAAAACATTTTTCAGTTTTGACCAAACTATTCATTGACTTGAACAAGCTGAATAAAGTAAAACGTACAAAATATTCTGTTTCTCCTGCAGGACAGACTTGTACCAAAGCAGAATTTGTCACACTGGTAACGTTTTGTTTCAGGTTCTCAACATTAATTTCCAGCTCTTCACTGATTTCACTGTTTGGTAAACTTTAGTAGCAAATACACTTTAAATCCCTGATAGTGTCAGTTGAAGTTTAGGCTTCATCATATGCCGTCATTTCAAATCTATTTTTTAAAGACTCTTCTTTAAAAGAAAGCAAATACCAAATATCTTCAAGATTTGGGCATTTTTCACCTCATGAAGTGACAGAAGCTTACTAGTTTTAAACTTTGTCTATCAAATTTCTTTTTCAATCTCTCTAGAGAAGTAAGCATTTTTAGATCTCTGTATCTTTCAAAAAAAGATCAAGTTAAAACTCCCACAGCAACGGTACTTCAAAATTAAAACTACTTGAGGGACTTACAATCACGGCGATTTTCACTTTTGTTAAAAAATTCAAACTTAAAAAATAATTTTTGGAGTGAAAAATTTATGTTTTGTTTCTTTCTATATATGACAGGATTTTTCAATATAAATATTATCGTTCACTGTAAAATCAGCTGTTCATTTTGTGAAGGTTATTCGACATGGCAGCATGTAAAACAAAACTTGCCAACTAAGTGAACGTGTAGGCAGAAGAACAAAAATCAGTAAGGCGATGTGTAACAGTGGAAAAATTAATAGGATTTCAGGTTGATATAAAAGAGTACACTTAAAAATACAAACTCTTTATTGCTTGTTTCTCTTTCGGACTCCACATCCAGAAAAAGTGGAAGATGGATAAATTAATAAAAGGTGTTTATAATGACACAGACTTGGAAGCACACTCCGTGCACGTACGTTTAACTTCCTGTGTTACATCTACCTGACACACTTTTAAGATCTATGCCCCATAAGCAAAAGTTTATCACAAAAAAAAACCCCAACACCTCCACCCAAAGCAAAACGTATATCCCATCTATGAGAAAAGCTAAATTATGTCCTGAACTCACCACGACAATAACTTCAGCTTCACCTAGAAACAGAAGTCATAACTTTTTTTTATTCTTCACCATTTGTTGGTTCCTTTTGGGCTTACCATCATCCCCAAACTGATCAACCAGACCCCAACAAGTATCCACCTAGTAAATCCACAGGAGCCAGAGGTCTCCGTTCAGCCACTCACAGCCAGGCTGACTCAGCTCCGATCATTTCATCTCTCAGAAGAATTCACTGATCGACTCAGTCTACTTAGTCTAGGGCTAGTGACACATTTTCTAAACCAGTAAGTCAACGCTCTCTTAGGGGGGTGGTTTTAGCTTTGTCGAGTCCACTAACTCGGGTGGCCAATCCAGTTCCCCGCAAAAGGTGACCAAGGGAACACAATCCTCAATACTCCTACGTAAGTGTGTTTTCTCCTCATCAATAAGACTGTGGATACTCTTTATTCCCAGGTAATAAAACCACGTTACCTTGTTAACCTTAGAATTTGACTCCTTCTCGTGTTTCTTGGCATCTTCTTTTCGTTCCGGTTTTTGTGCTGCTGCAGGTTTCTCCTCTTCCTCTTCAGGTCGTTTTTTGTCAGGTTTCTGATCCCGAGTCTCCACAACTTTTGGAGTAGGCTTGGATATTCTTGGAGATCGCCTTAACGTCCGGCCAATGCTGACCTCTTCTGGTGGTGTTTCTGCCTTTCTCTTCCGACTAGAGATCCTGATTGTTAATTTAATTCCTTCTTTCTGCCTTTCAGAAGTTATTTCTTTATTATCCGTTGCACAGCTTTCTTCCTCAGAAACTAGCTTATATTTAAGTTTGCTTTTAGGTAGTGGAGATTCCTTTTTACTCTCTGAGGAGCCCTCCAGATTAGAAGCATGGGCATCATCTAATCTATCCGGCTCTGTCTTGGCAGCTTCTGTCTCTTCCTCTTGTTTTTCAGGGCTGGATTTTTCTTCTACTTTGCTCTCCTCAGGTAGAGCCATTTTACTGTCCGAATCCTCCTTTTCCGAAACAGGCTTCTCCAAAGTAACAGGAGAAGTAGATGAAGGGGGTGTCTCAGCAGCTTTTGGAGAATCAGGTTTCTCCTCAGGCTCACCTTTACTTTTCGAAGTCTCTTCATCAGCCAGTGCGAGCTTGGGCAGTTCTGCAGGAGCAGCTGCATTTGGGGACTTCTCTAGTTTCTCTAAACATTCTTTGGGTGGTGGCAGTCTGTCCTTTTTGATTTGCAGGGCTAGTTTCTCTTCAGTTGTTTTGGCACAGTCTTCAGAGTCCGCAGGCTCCTCCACTACCGCTTCAGCAGTCGTGCTGTCAAGGGACTCTTTTTCCACAGGACTAGATTCCTCCTTTAAAGGCACTTTCTGATTAGAAACCTCAGAGACCGCAGTCCCTATTTCCTTCACCACAGTCACTGCATTTTTCTCAACCTCGCAAGTTTTTATGATTTTACTAACAGAATTTACAGAGTCTGATACCTTTTCCCCGCTTTTCCCATTTTTCTCTTTTAACGAGCTGCCGTCCTCCTTTGGGCCAGCAGAGTGTTCCGACTTATTGTTTTGTATGACACTGGGGGTTAGTTTTTCACAGCTAACCTCTCCGTTTACTAGCACTTTCCCATCAGGACATAAAGCAGTAATTGTAGGGACTCTCTTAAAAGCTTCTTCTTCTGGTTTCCCTTCTTCCTTCAAGACGTCCTTGGTTGGAGTAACACATTTACACAGGGGCCCCTTTATCGGGCTGTCGTAGTCGTCCGTCAGCTTGATCTCTCGCTTTTTAAGTGGTATTTTTGCCTGCTGGTCATTTTTAAGTTTCTCGCTTTCTTCCACAGATTTATCCACAATTTCTTGGGGAGTTTTGACATTAACACAAAATTCTAACCTCTCCGGCTCATGAACTGCTATTTTCTCCGTACAACTTTTTACTTCTTTCAAGTCTTTCGGTTCTATTTTGTTTTCCTTCACCTCTACTTTAACAGGCTTGACGTTTTCTTTAAAGGAGTCACTTTCTTCTTTGACAGCTTGCTTTTCTTCATTGTATTCCGAAGGTTTCTCTAATTTTACTATTACTGGCAATTTTATAATTTCTTTTTCTTCCACCTTCTCAATTTTCAGCGTATTTTCGTCTTCTTTGACCACAGGAAGAGGAAGGCTTTGCAATTCCATTGGCTGTTCCTCCATCTCCTCTTTTTCTTCTTTGATTTTTAATTGACTTTCTGTTGACAGAGAAAAACAGCTATGAAACAACCAGGGGACCTACAGGATTACAATAAGCATCCATCAAAACAAAGGCATATCTAAAAAAAAACCCCAACGACCCAAAGAGTCTCCTGCAAATGAATCTTCTCTCATTGAATTATTAGGAATCTGGCTTGTCTAACACTGTCATTAAACAAGTGAGTTGCCAATTTTTAGCTATAGATTCACAGTTCAATTTAATTATATACCAAAATAACCCAAGATTTCAGCAGAATTCTGAACTTACGCTTCTTCGTACAGACATCTCAATCCCTTCTTCAGTAGTACCACAATACTCAGAGAATAAAGAAAACCTGAACTCTTCTAAACTAGAACATACTGTAAGATTCCCTGGTCTTCAAGTGACATTCCACATATAAGTCAGCCCCCTGTTTGTACATGGTTTTATTTCAAAAAAATACTTAACTATTGTATTTCCACAGTTCAGAGAAAAGAGAAGACGTTCAACATTACGGCAGAATTCCGCTAGATTCTTTAGGCAATGACTGTATCCCCCATGCAGTGTCAACACACGAGTAACAGGCAATATTCTACTTTCACTTCACCCACCGTTTCCAAAACAAGCTCAGGGAGTAGTGTACACCAGAAAAACCTGCAGAGCTTAAAAGATTAGGTCATGTCTGCTTTGCTAAGTCAGTTTTAAATTGTTAGGGCTTAAAGCACGGTTCCAGCATTCAAAGGAAACCATACATCTACTTTGTTACTATGCACTTAAGCCTATTATTTATCATTACCACAGCCTCTTAATATTTTTTTTTTTTTTTAATTTTATCCTACTTTGAGTCAGCTGGGGATAGAACTAATTAGAAAAAGGAAATGTAATAGCACTACCTATACCACGACAGCATCTTTTACCATCTGGAAGATGTTATTGCAAGCGTGTCGTAACTCCAAACAAAAAGATTACTACTTCTTCTACTTCACCCCTCTCCCTCCACACTAGTGTAATTCTTTTCCAAGACGAGAGCTTCCCAAAGTGGTTAAAAACATACAGGGGAAAGTAAGTGACAGCTAACTTAGTTACACTAAAGGAAATCGGCAATTTAGAAAAGAAAAGCACGGTGAGGAAGAATTGGTAGATTTTGTGTTTTCAAATACAAAGCTCATATCCACGTAAGTCTCGGCAATTAGCAGAGCAGTGAAAGATGTCCAAGGCACCAGCAGCAATAACGTTTTGAAGGCTCAAGGCTGGTTTTTTTCCCCTTCATAGAAGTGGTCCCCCCTGAGCCCTTGTAACCTAAAGCTGCCTCCTCAAAGACATTTGTCTGTAGAGCGAGAATGAGACTTTTTTCCTGTTGTTTTTTTTTTCCCCACCCTCTCTTCACTTCTTTCTGTCTAAACTTGGTTCAACCGTTTCTTCCCATCACCTATTGCTTGTTCCCAGCATCAAGGATCACCAGAATCCCCAAACCTCTCTATACTGAACAGCTGCTCCCTGAACTGCTCCTGAAGTGTTCATATCTACAAAATGACTCGGTTGATGCACGAGTTGTCTTAATGCCCTTTGAGTCAATCCATCAGGCTGATAAAAAACATACAAATATTGGTCCAGATCACCTTATTTTCGTATGAATTAAGTTGACGGTATTTGGGAAGTGGCCAGAGCAAACAGGTATCGGGGTCTTCTATCACGTTTTCACTGCTCTGAATGCAGCCCTTGGACTAGTAAGAAGAAATACTAAAGCTTCTCCACCGAAAGGCTCTAAGTTGTGCTCTGTGAACACAATGACTGTGCTTACATCACTGCACATGTAAAGGATTTCATTATTTTTTGTCATTTTGCACCAACACACAGCCTAGTGCACGTACTGACTCAGACGCGCGTGACACAGGATTTGGGGAATCTACAGTGGGGACAGTTTCCAAATGGCTTCTCCTGAACTCAATGTAAAGTAAAATCACATCTGAGGTAGAGATCCCGATGAGATGATTTAAGCTGGCTTGACCAATTATTTGGAGAGACAAAGGCAAGAGTTGTAGAACACTGGAACAGGTTGCCCAGAGAGGTGGTGGATGCTCCATCCCTGGAGACGTTCAAGGCCTGGTTGGATGAGGCCCTGAGCAACCTGATCTAGTTGGAGATATCCCTGTTCCTTGCAGGGGGGTTGGACTAGATGACCTTTGAAGGTCCCTTCCAGCCCTAACCATTCTATGATTCTATGAAGGCAAGGTCAGTACTTGGAATTAATTCCGCAGTGTCAGTGGCCACACAGGTTCTGTTGTCACTGAGAGGCACAGTTAGATATTTGGAATGCCTTAGACTGAAAGACAATTCTGCTGGTGGTCACCACAATTTCTACAGTAGTCTTCTAATGCTTCCACAATGACACAAATTCTATCTAAATGTTTTATTTATTTCTTCTGTTCTACACTGTTTGCCGCAAAGAATGAGAATGAAATAGCAAGTCTTTCTCTTTGATGCTCAGAACCAAGACAGAATCATAGAATCATAGAATGGTT